TTCCATCAATACCGGGTGTTCGCAGTTATCAACCACGAGGAGGTCACTACACCGTCTGTGTATCTTATCTTTCCACTCCTTTCCGACCCGAGAAACAGTCGTAGGTTCGAGTGGACCAATTCTTTCTTTCAGCGCATAGTGTTCGTTGTCGATCTCCTCATCCAGAAGAAACTGAACAAAAAACAGTGACAAGAAATGTCCTCACCATTTCTTTACACTACCGGCTAGCTTCCTTTTCAAGTGCCATCGACTTTGGCCCTCGAAACTCGGTCGGGCCGGACAGCCAATTAATATCCCGGGCCACCAGGTACCAAAGCGTTCCCTACACGTTGCACTACTGCCTACTCATAAGAATCATCATAAAGCCTCTATAGGAAGAAGGAATTGGCCAAAGGAATATCGATGCAGAAGTGAACCCAGAAGCACCTCTGCTTGGCCAAGGTATCAACAGGCGAACCCCAATCCGACAAAGCGATAACCTCTTGATCCGGTCACCAACAAGAGTGATAATAGTGATATGGTTTGTTCTCACCATACTCTCGCTACTGTCACTCGGCCTTTCTCTGGTTTATCTCTGTATTGAAGAGGGATTCAATGTGGCATTCTTCTTTGGTGCAAGTGCGATGTTTCTCATCTTTACCGGTATTGGAACAGTAGTCAGAAGTCGGAGGTGATGAGTCAGGAATTCCCTGCCGAATGTGATACCAGAAAAGCCACAGGGGCAAATTATGACATGCTGACATGTCTTTAATAACCATCTCTGGTCGAAGCGCCAGCTCTCGGTGAGAAATAACCCGAGGTAGCTGACGTACTTGCCTTATTGCCGGAAGACTAACTACTTCTGTACTACAGCGCCTCGTAGGACAAGGTGTTCATCCATTTTGATGCAGCGGCTATAAATAAACTGTAAGCTATTTCTTACTTGCGATTAGTGCTTTCTTTTTAGCTGGCCTATATGCCCGATATTCGGAAAACGCCGGGAGTGGGGCAATGGACAGACATGAGAAGACTTATCCGTAGTGACATGAATCCAGTTCCAGGAAACGATCAAGTATCAGATATGCTGTCAGTGCCACGTCTTACTTGGGAACTATTGGCAGTTAGCTATATATTCCTGCAAGACTGATTGATGAGACATGGTAGTTGAGCAACATATTAAATTTACAAAGGTTAACCTAGACCCAAGGCTAACAGCCCGTAGACGTCATTGTTGATCCCTACCGCGCTTAGACTTGCTCCATTCTCTGATTTCCGCTTCCTCGTCCCCACAACTCTCGACCGTCATTTATTTCCCAGTCCGACCTGAGGGGGAAATAAAACCCGACCCCTAAATTGGTGGATCGCCAGCGAATTTTGGTGTAAGCCACACTCGTCAAGGGTCATGTACTCCCCCCCCC